GGAAGACTTTCGTGTATTTTATATTTTCACTAACTAGAATTGCGGTTCCTCGCCCTCTCGTTGCTAACAATCTTTTCTGATTAAATTATACCCTATAAATTTAAGTTTGTGTCTTGTGTTAAGTTTAGTTTCGTTCAACAGAACAATATCGGGATTATTATACGATAAGAATTTACTTAGCTCTCTTCGTTTGTATTTCCAGCTGCTTCTGCAGAACTGTTAATAGTTTTCTTAAAGATAACATAGTATTTGTTAGTTCTTCGAATAATTGATTTTAAGAACTTTGATTATTGGTATCACAAAATTCACCAGTTGACTTTTTACAGACATTTGCGTAACTTAAATTGGAGTTAGTAAAATTTTGATTAGTATTTATTTTCGTAGCTATTAGGTTTTATTTTTTCAATCTTATTTTTATGTGAAGCTCTTTGTAGGATGCTGGTTGCCCAAATTTCTTGCACAAAACACAAAACACCTTTTCATTTTCGGTTGAGTTAGCGTCTAATGAGGAACAATCTTTGCTTTGGTAAGTTCCGCTACATTTGACACATCTTGGTGGTAGATTACAATTGGCTGCGCTGTGAAAGAAATTTTGACAGTTTATATATTGCGGAATCTCAGCTTTTCGGAGGGGTTCCCATTTAATGCAGTGGTATAAAACAATTTAGATTGCTTTCAATTCGTTAACAACATAGGTATTTTTATATTGCATTGCGTGGAAACTATTGTGGTAAATTGATTAACTTTAAGAATTTTTAGGTTATCGTTTTGATATGTTCATTAGAAATTTCTTCGGGGTAGGTATTGTCGTTTAGCCCTTTCAATAGATATGTTTTTGTTTTTAAACGTTTAGACGTCTAAGAATGGAATTTTACTTATGATTGATCTAAGTACCCTCGAACCTTTTTATAGTCTTCAATGTTGGTTAAAAGAATTTGTTTTTGTTATACAAGTGTTCTTTGATTTAAAATTGCGTTACGTTTACACCATCTTCTATTAGTTCCATTATTCGTTTTGATTCGATATCATATGTGTGTATTCAGGAATATTTTTGATGTTTATCTTTTGTTTGACGTTTGGGTTCGAATTAACTTCACCGTGTTGTTTTTGTGGGAGACGACAGCTGGAGGTATTGCTGTCGCTGCACTTTCTGATGGGATATTTTGTGTTGTATTGCAAGTTTCACTTTGTATATTTTCTTTGCTTAGATAATTGGATTATTATCTCCTAGATAGTCATCTAATGTAGCGTAAAATATGTATTGATGTTTTTGTTAGTTTTAAGTTTATCGTTGTGACATTGTTTGCAAAATTAAGCGCACTACGCTTACTAATTATAAAAAGGAATAACTGTACACTGATTATAAATCACGATTGGCACTTCAAGGAAATTAAATGAGTTTTATGATTTTCGTGATTTGTTGTTATTTTACAAACCGTAGTACGTACTTACGCTCTCGCCCACACAATCAGACCGCTCGTCTGTACCCTTGACGCTCTGATAGTACATTGTGCCATTCGAAAAAGTCGATGCTAATACATTATTACAGGTTGGAATATCTACTGTATATAAGATATATAGAGTTGGGCCTAACACACTCTCTGAGGTACACCAGCCCTTATCGGTCCTTCATCAAAGATGAAATTAGGATTATAATAAGACTCCTAATTGCTCGGTCTAATCGGATGATAATCACGCTCACTCCCCATATAACAGTTTTGTTAAAAACTACAATAACCAAACTTCAAAATCATTAACTAAATGCGTCAGAGACATAAAATTGTACATCCGGGATGTTATAAAAGGGCTTTATAGGAGCCGGCGTCAAAATTGAACAATGGGCGTGGCACCGCCTACCTTTATATAAAATCTCATATCTCCGGACCTTCATTTTATGCTATGAAATCAGGAAATAACCGCGCTCACTACTCATATTACGGTTATGTTGAGAACTACTAAAAGTGCGACAACTCACTGAATAAACACACAAAAGCCACAAGCATAAAATTTCACAACCAGGATGGTTGTCAACACCTGAAGGTACTTCCCCGGCTGTGATCCTTGCAAGAGTATAACATACAATTTTCGGTTATACCCGAACTTAGCCCTTCCTTACTTGTTTTGTATTATATTTATTTTACAAATATATCGAATAATTAAAATAGCAACATATGAAATAAAGTTGAAGAATATATAAATATATATTTTTTGAATACAATCCGCATTAAGAGAGTGAATTTACAATTTTATCCAACTATGTTACGTATGAATTTAAATCATTAAATAAATATACATGTATCTTTAATGAGCACTAAAGTAAGTTCTGTCAATTTTTATCAGATTGAGATTAGGTTGAACAAACATTTTTACAAAATGTGTTTTTGTTGTTGTTGGGGCAAACCTTGTAGCTTAAATTTTGATGGGTGAGCATTCTTAAATCGTTCAGAGCCTCATTATTTTTCCTCTGGAGAGTTTCAAGAGGCAGTCAAAATACATACATACGTACATAAGCACGTAGATATGTGCTCAGTTTAATCTTTCTCTTCAAAGACATTTGTTAGACCAATCCTGAATACATCTAATATTTGCTGATATTTCCTTTTCCTTTCAATATTTGAAAAGGTAAAATAAATATGAACATGAATCACGTTTTAAATAAACAAACAAATATTTTATGATATGGGATAAACTTCCATAATTGGTTTTATAGTCTTTAAAAATCTCAATTTTTTTTACATAAAGATATTAATACTATTTTAATATTTATGACTAGATATTACATATGTGTGTACATAATAAAAAATATTACAGAAATCATCAACACTATCATCCACTTATTTATTAATACTTAAGTTAAAGAACTAATTTAATTACAAGGTACAATTAAAAAGTTCCAGAACTTTTTAAACAACGTGCCTTCTAGTGGCGCCATCTGTCTGAAATTGTTATCCCTCAATTGTGTATTCTTCAGTGTTGTCGTATAAAATTTATATAACAGTTGACTTGTATAACAGCTGAGATATCGCGCTACATGTGACATTACATTTGTAGTGTCGGTCGGAAAATGAGCATCGAACAAAGAGCCAACATTAAGTTTTGTTTTAAACTTGGTAAAACTTTTACCAAAACTCATCAAATGATGAAACAAGTTTATGGCGATGATTGTCTATCCCGTAGCTGTATTCACGAGTGGTTTAAACGTTTTCAAGAGGGACGGGAGGACTTGGAAGACGACGAACGTTCGGGCCGGCCAAAAGATGTTGTGAACGAAAAAAACACGGAAATTGTGCGTGAATTCATTAAAAAAAGAGCCGAAATAATCGCTTAAATATATGGAATCAGAATTATCAATATCCGCAGCGTCGATTTATCGTATTTTGACAGAAAATTTGGGCCTCAGAAAGGTTTGTGCTCGATTTGTCCCGCACACTTTGAAACAACACGAAAAAGACCTCAGAATCAGACAGATTTTTTGACTAAAAATCGCATTCATATCATCAACCATTCAACCTATTCGCCTGATATGGCACCCTGCGATTTTTGTTTGTTCGGAAAACTAAATTTGGCCATGAAAGGAAACCGCTATGCTGACGTTGATGCCATCCAAAAGGCGACGACCGCCATCCTCAACGCTATACCGACAAATGACCTAAAAAAGTCATTCGATAACCTTCTTGAACGTGCAAAACGTTGTATTCAGGCGGAAGGAGACTATTTTGAAGGCGACCAATAAATTAAAAAAAAAAATTATAATAATATTCGTTTTTTAATAAAAGTCCTGAAACTTTTGAATTGCGCCTTGTATATTCTGAAAAGTCATTCCTTGCAATTGCAAGAAAAGGAAATCAGGCTATTGGAGCGATGTATTCGTTTATAGATCATTTCACTTCTGTCAGCCCAGGGGCTTTGTTAATCCTCCTTAATTCAACTGGGTTAGATAGAGTGATGTAATAAGAGGGGAGGGCACAATAGAATACCGAGCAGATACCTCATGCTAAATTTATCTATGAAAATTAACGTTTAATACTCCTTAATATATACATATGTATGTACTAATGTATGCACTGCTTTCAAAATAATAATAAAAGCAAAAATTCATATAATTTACGATATACATATGTTAATTTCGCATGAATTTGTTTATGTATGTATGTATATGTTTACTTTTATATGTGAATAGCAGGTAAATATATATATATACATGAATATACCAAAATACAGCGAGCATATACATATACAATAAATACAGAATGCGTATTATGAAGCTTTAAATACATATGTACATACATTATCCTAAAGTCTATAATTACTGTGTTCTAATAGATGCATATTTTCAATCAAAAAAGCTCAATATTGTGTTTTATATATGCATACAAAAATACAAGAATATGTGTATATTTACATGGATATATATTCTTATGTACATACATGCATATATACATATATAAATATCTAGTATCTACATTTTATATGTAAATATGCGCTATATCTTCAATGCATCTGCATGTACATACATTCATATATCCTCTTTGGATATGGGTTCTGCTACAAAACGCTTTGTCATTTTTACATATGCTAATATACACACATACACAAGTATTGAGGAATATTCCACACGGTCGACAGTCTTGTTTTGTACAAGCAAATGATATATATGTATTCGGATTCATTCCTTTCAAACCCTGCACGAAACATGTTCAAAATAACGCATATGTTTTGTTCTTCATATACATGTTAGCCCATAAGATTTAAATAAAATACTGCGCAGTTTAAAAAAGTTAACGGAGGTAATTATAAAATTCTAAGTAAAATTTCTATAATTTAATAAATTTCACAAACTACCCAATAATTATTTACATACAAACATATATTATATAGTTTCCTTATACTCTATAAAGTTCAATGAACAGCAGTTCTCAATAAATTTCGTGCTGGGTATTCTGGTTCAATACAATGACACGACTACCGTATGGTTAATACTAACCATTTACGACGTTGAACAGCTGATTCAGTGCAAAAGCATCGAATAACAACACAACAACGTTTCATAAAGTCACAAAATTGCAGTAGAAACTGTTGATTATCTTTGTTCGTTTATACGACGAATTGTAGTCGCAACTTTTGTTAGTGATTTTATTTAATATGCAAGTTTTCTTATTAAAAAAAAGTGGCTATAAGTGTTACAAAATCGGTATAATTTTTTAGAAAACCTTGGTGCTAGTTTCATGATTAATAATTAAAATAATCGGTTCACTAAAAAATTACGAAGTACGTTTTACGTACAGACATAAGTATATTATGTGCCTACCTTAATACATACATTGTATGTAATTGTATGCATGAAAATATTACGGAGTGGTTTTTTTATACAAAGTTTTGTCTGCCGTGTTTATCCAGATTATTCTGTAAAAAATTAAATATTACTAATTCATGCACATAAGTACAAATTATAATATAATAAGTTATCAACGGAATAAATATTTTGGACGAATACGATGACTTTTTCCATACACACATATTTGTATGTATGTGTAAATACATTCACTATTGCGAATGTGTACGTGCGATTTTCATCTGAATTATTTTTTTATAAAGGTGTAACTTAATTCAGGTTTATTCGACCTATAAGAACAATAATATAACAATCTTTCATAAATACATACATATTTACATATACATCTGCATATGTGAGTACATATTAATTAAATTTTCTGTCGAAAGAAAAATCTATAGAAATAGCTTATTAATATGACGAAACTAATACTTGCTAGGCTATGTATGCACATCTATATACAAAAATATTGAATACATATGCAAGTGTGTATGTAAGTAGATACATACATGCATTCTATAATACAGGTACCATGTGTTCAACCGAGTACTAAAAGATAATTTCGATCACTACTTTAATGAGTACACAGTAGAAAAGAGGATTATAATATGAGACATTTAGAACGCTCAATCGAGAGTGTGGGAGTGTCTAAAATGTCGAACAAATAATGTTCTCTCTAGCATGGCATGAGGGTGAGCGCTCTCCAGATGATAAATTTAAAACTATGCCAAAGCTCTGTCCAAATAATTAAAAAACAAAACAGAACCATAATGTTTTCTATACAATCCAAATATTCACAAAAATACATATCTGTTTTTATATGTGAATTTTCAACAGAACAGAGTGCATATGAAAAAAATTCATTTTTAGTGTTTTTTTTTAATTCCTTTAAATTCTATAAATGTAATTATTTATTTATGCTTTGAAGTAAATTCAGATTTTTTTTTACATACATATATTTTTATACATATGTATGTACATATATGAATATGTATATACAGACATGAAATAATATGAAGCGAATACAATGCTCATTTTACCTTGACTTATTATGACGTTGTTTATCAGTTCAACTGCAAATATACAACATTTATTATTAAGCAAAATATTATGCGTATACACATGCATACATTGTATTATTATAGTAAAGACCATATGTAAACATATCCCACACATATGAATGTATATATATACATATTCCATATGTATATGTTTTTACTGAATATAAATTTACTAACAGTTGACATATAGGTAAATACCTAAGCAGACCTAAACTTTTATATATGTACCATATATGCATACATTCACATACATATGTATATGTGTATTCTATATCCATATCTACAGTGTGTGAAATAAAAATATATAATGTGAAATCTTGAATCTAAGCACATACACAAACATACGTACATGTGCATACTATTTACTAATATGTATGCACGCCATAAATCAACACTGCCAATCATAAGCGCGCATTCAACAGTTTAAAATTTGCAAAACAATAATTAAACGCATATTAAACAGTTGATTTTAAATTTTTATAAAAAACTTTAATTTGTTGAGCATGTGATATTGAAGATTTATATTTTGACAAAATGGATGGTTTTAACTTTCAAGCTTTTATGAAATCCGACATGATCTCTCCTAGTAAGTCTCAGGAATTCGAGTATAATAATGGACATTTGAAATCTGATGAATTGATTTTTGGTTCGCAGCGCGTTAATTTGAATTCCTGCACACCTTATTCAGATGCGACCCAGGTAAGTGTGTAGATATGTACAGGCAATTATGTGTATTTATTATATACATACATATGTGTATCGGAAGACCGTAAAATATAAGCAGAAGTAGCAAATTAAAACATTTTAAAGTCTCGAAATTTATAAGTTGATAAAAAGTTAGTGCAGTTTGGATAACACGAAGGCGAAGAATATATTTTGAATGTGATGTAAATATTAATTAGATTAATTAAGGAAAGCAAGGAATGTTATTAAAAATTGCTATATGAACATTTAATATACACCATTGAAAATCAGAATTGGTTTGCAATTCTGACAACTACGCAAATCTGTCTTGGATTCCACAACACCCCTGAATAATTCCAAAACAGTTCGACTACTGGGTGAATAGAGAAACATAAACAAGCATACAAAGTAGCATTCCTACTCATCAAAAACTTTAACTGTTTATTATAAGTACATGCTTATACTATAAATCGAATTTTAAAAGCTTTCTATCGAGGCCACTGAACTTCAAAAAAAGCACGACCTATGTATGTAAACAATGCAGATGTATAAGCTTTCAACACTGCTAAAGTTCACATCGTGAACTGAACTGAAAATTAATTCGAAGTAGGATGGCTATTTCCAATAGAAATATTAAAGGAAATCACATTAAGCTTTATGGGTTCAGCATTGCATTCTTTAGCCTTTTCGCACGACCAAATTACCTTAGTACATTAAGATTATAATTGAGAAACCGGTTTTTACCTTTCACACAGCCGGTTACACGATTAACGATCAGCTGTTATACATTTTATTTGCTGTTCGTAAAAAGTTGGGAAAATGCGTGTATTAATAATATTCAACTGTTACAATCAGTACAATCTAGTTATGATTGTGCACTGGCTTTATTTAAAAAAGTGAAGGAACGAAACTTTTTAATATTACATCTTTATCAGTTGATTGCTATTTTACCCATAAAAACATTCAAGTTTACAGTGCGGACAACAACCTGCAGAATGGTATTCCAGTTTCAACTTGATTTGTATTCGATTTAGAATTAAAGTAGTAAGTTAAGACTTTTATTTTATATGGTAAATCGATCTAAATTAACGCTTTAATCGAACAAAGGCCGGTTAATTGATCAATTAGCACCTGTGCGAAAAGACTATTACTATCTAAGCTAATTATTCTAACTAAGAGCGTACATAAGTTTTAACGGAATGGGAGTTTATATAATAACTCGGCAATGGTAGTTAATAAACAATATTTGGGACATCTATCATAATGTGTTGCTATTACAAAATTTAATTAAAACATTAATTTAATAAAATTATTTTAATAATTGTCGATATATACTAATTTACTAGCTTCAGTCAAACGCGCCAAGTTCCTAAAATTTTTCTAATTAATATACAAATGTATGTGTGCATAAAAATGTTTCCTTATCTGTATTTACATTTTATTATTCACATTTATGTTCGTATGATCGAAGGATTTTTTTTTCAAAAATTTCCAATTGACCAATTAACTGTTGATTTTTTCCCAAAAATGTAGAAAAAAATTCGATCAGGCCCAGGACTATCTATTTATAAAACTAATTTTTTTTATTCGATTGATTTTAGATGAATTTCCAAATACTACCCCTAACCCCTTAATCATCCCACTGATAAATTTATTATAATTATATTTAATAAACAAGCACCTTTACTTATCTAATATTTATCACTAATGTAAATAATGTTTATAACAAAAGCCTATTTTCGTTGAATTCCAGTCAAAATTATAGTCTTGAATAATACACACGCATAGCCTAGAAGTGTTTTAAACAATCATATGTTACTTCATACAATAAAATTTTATACCTTCATGTTGCCGAAAGTTTTTTTCATCTAACAGCTGTTTGAATTATCTAAATATAATCAAAACTGGTATCAAGTTATATGAAAATGACGAAATGAGCTGAATTCTATAAATATTGAAATATTTTGATGAAAATAGTACATGTGTTCGTTGGCACTTTAAAGAGGTTGTTATTACAGTTGAAATCCATAATAAGCAAATTCCACCTCTATGGGCTATTTTACTGATAAGACTGCTCCATGGTAAACAATTAACCAAATCTCGTCAATACCCCATAAAACTTATATAAGGTCTTTCAAACTTCCGGTTGTATTTATACCGTATTTATCGACAACGCGAATAATCTTAGCAAAATGAATTAAACGATTGAGCTTATACCACATACCATAAGCTAGTAGAATTTAGTGACATGAGTGTGTACAATACCTATGTATGGATATCCTTATCACTATTATGATGAATATAGAGATTTGTGTTGATTAAATTGATATTAGTATAGGTTAATATCTCGGCCATAATAAGTGAAGTAATGAAACTAAACGAGTCTTTGAGCTATAGCATAAATTAATAAGATTTTAAATATGATTGTAATCTATTCGCAGTTTTTTTATAAAGGTTTGCAAACACCTTATAATATTAATTGTTTCTTAATCCGTTCAAAATATATATTTTTAGTAATAATACCCTTCTTTTACCATTAAAAATATATCTACAAATTTTAATGATCATCCTTTAAATAGTTTCGGCGTGAAACCGTAACAAACATCCTTACATTCAGATTTATAATATTATATAATATATTAGAGAGCAGAGATGTATATATGTATATTATATATTAAAATATTTTTTCATTAATGTTTCATATATATGTGTTTCTTTTTCAGACGAAGAAACATTATCCTGGTCATATAAAAAGGCCAATGAATGCATTTATGGTATGGAGCCAAATGGAAAGAAGAAAAATATGTGAAAAGACGCCTGATCTACACAATGCTGAAATATCTAAAGAGCTTGGTAGGCGTTGGCAACTACTGGACAAAGAGGAAAAACAGCCTTATATAATTGAAGCGGAAAATTTACGAAAACTACATATGATAGAATATCCTGATTATAAATATAGGCCTCAGAAAAAGCAGTCACGATTTTTTACTTCAAGACATAGTAATGAAAAATCGTATCGCGGCGCAAAATGTCCTGAAAATTCAAAGAAAACATCAATATATCCGTCGCCTTTTTCTGAGCAAAAGAGTAAACAAGGTATAATTAGCGGCAGTATAGATGGAATTCAACGATGTAATCGAAGCTCGAAAAAAAATACTTGCAAGATCCCCTCTGCTAACCAAAAAAAAATAATTAAAATGAAAGAAGCGTCTCCTATATTTGACTCTACAGATATATGCTCAGGAGAAGACCCTATTAATTATTTACCACATAATGCAATTGAAAGAAACTCTTTCAGTGATACAAATATCTGTGATATTAACTCAGGGAATGTTGATAATATACCTAGTTTAGATCCTATTGAGCCGTCCGACTTTAATCATTTGAAAAGTGGCCCAGAATTTCCACTAGAAGATGTTTTAAAAATAATAAACTCTGAAAACTTTTTGGAACAGCAATTTGAGTTTCATAACCCCAGAATCGAGTTTTCTCATGAAAGCGAACTTAATCCTGAACAAATAAATGTTAACGATATTTCTCCGATCTCATGTTTCGAAAGCAGCAAGGAGGATAACATAGTAAATGATGCTAATTTACATCTTGCCAGTCATCACTCTCACCAAATGCAATATCCATATGGAACAGTGAAGCTTCCCGTTTTTAATTCCTTACTAACTTCGCGAGATGAAAACAACCCTCTGAGTATTATTAACTCTTCAACTGACGACTCAAACTGTGACATTATAAATCAATCCTTATATTGTACTGACGAATGCGAATCTGATAACCATGACGCAACGATGCAACAACAAACCATAACAATGAATATTGAGATTCATAACAGCAATCGTGTTTACAGAAAAGGTGGAAATAATGGGCTTATGGTTGGAGATGACGTATATGCAGTATCAATTCCATGTGCCAGCGGCGATAGCGATTGCAGTATTTTAACATCGCCGCATTCGCCACAAATAAGATTAAATAACACTAGTACAAGCAGTGTAATAGTGGATACAAGTTTTGCAAATATTTCTCCACTTTCAATTACTAACTGTAATCATGACATTCATTCGGAAAATCTTAATTTATCGAACTATACGTTCTATGATACCAATGGAGCTCTTCTTGCTTTTACCTATGATGACCTCCCACCGGAATCTTCCGGCAGCCATTTGGAGTTTAGCAATAGATATGAGTTTTCTAGTCTTTAAAATAGGACATATTCATTATAAAGTAAGGTGCGTTCAAGGTACGTAATAATTACAGCAGTACAGCAACTGTGCTGCATATTTTTTTATTTTTACTTTGCTGATGTGGAGCCAAAAATTTAGTGTGCCGATTATTTGCATATATTTCGCCCGTGCTGCAAGTTTTGCCAGAAATTCACTCATAACGTGATACTTTGACAAATTTTCAACACCGCTGTCGTGATTGCTATCTCGAAGGCACCCATAGTGTCTTTAAGTGGTACAGACAAATGTATATACGTACATAAATAAAACATTGTATATTAACCTTTAAATTCATGAAAATGTACTATGAAACTCTTAACAACAATTTAATGCAAATATCAAATTTAGGTTTAAGCATGTCACATGAAATTATACAAATTGTATTATTTTTTTTTTAAATCGATTTGCATAATGTTTCTTCAATACACGTAAATTCGTAAGTGTTGTCAGTTCAGGAACCTCTAATAATTCTTAAAAAAATGTATTAAAAGTAAAATTGTAAAATAATCACATAAAAATGTTTGCACGAACATTTACATATGTATTAAAAATTGCGATATATTATAATATTTTACTATCACATAATTATTGGTATTTGTGAGATGAAACTATTTCAGGGGCATATGTGCTTTTCAAGCATTTTAAGATTGAATTGTAATATTACTTTTAGTGGTTTGTAAAAATTAAAAAAAAAAAAAAAATTATTATCTACCTTACAATAAAAACATATTTTTTTATTACATATATATTGTATATATACAAACAGAGAAATTGCATTTTGAATATGATATGATCAACATATTTAAGATTTATAGGTATTTACGATATACATACATGTAAAAAACATATTTAGTATGATTTTAAATTCATTAATATGCATATACATATGTACTTATGTATAACTTAAATTATTACTCATACTATTTATCGTAAAAAAGTTTAAAGAATTAAGTAAAAAATAGGGCGTGAGTATCAAAAGATTCCATAATGGCTACTAACATAGGTATAAACATGGTAAGATAATGAAAAAGTTTTACAAGACAAGCCTCTATACATTATACAGTATTTCTTTGATCAACCTCGATATTATATTGTCAACTTGATATCTGACTACTTTTTGCCATATATTAGTGAACTCAGTCGACGACAGCATATATACACATACATATACTCGTACTGTATATATGTCTATATTGGTTGTGATGGGAGATATTTTATTACATTATGCGATTATTAAGTGATCGGTCCCAATGTTGATAAAATCGTCATATATCTCCTCCTATAGATAACAATTTCAAACGCATTATTCTTATATTATTTGCAGACATCTCAAAATAAACGCCTTTACTTTTTACAAATAATATTAGAAACTTAGTATTTAGGCTTAGAATTAGTATTTAGCCTACCTACCTTTTTAAATGTATACGAGATTGTAAATTAAGTATAAAGTACACACTTTCGTCACAGGATTATTGTTATTAATTAAAAGTTTTTAAATATAAATATAAATGTAAAATTCATAGAGATTGTGAAATGAAATATTTGTCGGAATCTGAGTTGAAACTGATAAAAAATTGTAGTAGATGTCATGTATTTTGATATTAATGCCTGCTCAGACCATAATTCTTATTGGTTTGGATGTCATGGAAACCAATCTTAGCGTCTTTGATATTAGACACAAACCGAGGAATTCAGCGCTGGAACATTTAAAATATTACTTTTAACTTATAATATTTGGATTTGCTGCTAAAACTCTTTCTAACCAAAAGTGGTATTAAAAAATAAAGTAAGGAAGCGCTAAGTTCGGGTGTAGGCGAGTACTTTACACTCTCGGAATTTGCAAAAATAAAACATATACATATATATATACTTCAATAATTTTAGACGCTTTGTTCCGTTTTCTTAATATATGGTTAAGCGCTTAACCAGAACTTTACCAGCAACATGTTGAAAAATTGTGTTCTCAGTATCTGATTAGCAACCATCTCCACCAGACGACCAAACATACCCTGCTTCAAATGACAGCAGAAGGATTTAGCAAAGGGAAGGTAATCACGTCCCAACAGATGAGGGACCACTATCAAGTGGTACACCGACGGCTCGAAAAAGGCGGAAGGGATTTGTGCATGGGTCGTAGGACCACGCATCAAGCTCTCCATTCCCATGGGAAGTTTTCCTAGCATCTTCCAGGCGGAAGTATATGCTATAAGTCGGTGTGTAGAGATAAACCTCCAACGCAACTATCGCAATAAGAGTATCTGCATACTCAGCGATGGTCAGGCGGCACTAAAAGCGATCTCGACTTTTGAGGTCAAATTGCTACTAGTGCAGGAGTGCATAGAACCGCTGAACAGTCTATCAAGTCACAATAGAGTGCATCTCATCTGGGTGCCGGGTCACAGGGGTATAGCCGGAAATGAACTGGCTGACGAGTTGGCGCTCTCTGCAGCCTCTACAAAAATGGTAGGGCCAGAACCATGCATAGCGATTGGTCCACACACCATTAAGGAGCTGCTCCGTAAAGAGCAGGCAGGGAGACACATTGGCAGCATATCCAAGGCATGCGCCATGCCAAGTTGCTGATGGAGGGTTTCGACCTCAGACGGTTTAAAACCGTAATCAATCTCCCGAGAAATAAGTTCCGGCTGCTTGCCGCGTTCTACACCGGTCATTGCAGGCTCAATAAACATCTATTCAACATGGGCTTAGTCTCTTCTGCAAAGTACCGGTTCTGTGACATGTAGTCGGAGACCCCAGAACACCTGCTAGTGGACTGCACAGCAATCTGCAGACGCAAAATTAAGGCCCTGGGATCCATGTTTCCCAACAGGGATCGCATCGCTTCACTAGCACCTAGCAGTATATTAGAGTTCATCTATATGCTGAGGCTAGACGAGTCGTTGTGACTTAGGGGAGGGCACAATAAACCATAGGTTGCAGTGCATACCTCTATCCATCTCTCAGTTAAGCTTCAGGTAAACTTTACCGAAAGAAGTGATAGAAATGATAGCTATCAGTTCTAAAATCTATAAAAAAAATCCAGCTGTTTGGCTGCGGCGTTCATATGGCGACTCTTGTCGCTCAATTTCATTATATATTATGCATATATGCATATTTCATACAAAAAAGGGCTAATAACATTTAAATTTCCGAATAAAATGTAAAAT